GGTCACGACCAGAGTCACGGAACTAATTAAGTTCGTAAACCCAGGTACCACTGTATAATACAGTGCTCTAAGTTCAGAAGCAAAGTCATAGTGATGTCAGCTTCATATTCTAAAAACAAAGATTATCATACTGATTGTTTTTTAAAAAGACACTTTTTCAACATTCTGGTTAAAACTTTCATTTTTTTTCAAGCATTTCCTCTGTACTTCCCCTCACTATTGATGTTATGTCACTAGTAAAGCATTCAATATTTTAAAGCCTTCTGCTATTTAATAAATGGTATAGCAGTAGTGAGGAATATGATATAATCATAGCAGGATATTTAGTGCCACACATTTTTAAAAAAATCTTGAATGATGGCTTATATGTCCTAAACAAAGGTATGAAGACTTAGGAAGCTCAATGTCAATCGACATTGCTTTTATCTGATATTTCCCATTTTGTCCTTGGAGAAAACATTGTGTGTTTTTAATGGTTTTTAATGTGTGTAAAAATTTAATACAAGCTGTCTTGAACATTAAAGTAAACATTTTAAAATGTCACTTTTCAGTCACCCTAGTTTCAGACTGGCTTGATGGTGTCTCTCTCTTGACTTCAAAGGAGAGGGGTTTTTTTCTACCAACTTTTCAGTCACCCTAGTTTCAGACTGGCTTGATGGTGTCTCTCTCTTGACTTCAAAGGAGAGGGGTTTTTTTCTACCAACTTTTCAGTCACCCTAGTTTCAGACTGGCTTGATGGTGTCTCTCTCTTGACTTCAAAGGAGAGGGGTTTTTTTCTACCATGTAGGGTCATCAGTCAGTGGAAAATTAAAATATACCTTCTGTGGATCATATTTAAAAATGTGGGGGAAAATAACACAGCAACAAAAAATTCTGAAGAATCATTTAGGTCACTTCCATCTTTAGAAAAGTGTTTTTGGATAGAAATGTTGATTATAGATGATTTTTGTATCCTTAAGCTTAGGAATATATTTATACATATTCAAAATTATGTTGGCTTTTTGCTTTTGTGTAGGGTTTTTTGATACATGTAATGCACTTATTCCATCTTAAAGGCATTGCAAGGAATGCAGATAATCTAATCCCATTAAGACATTCCACAAAGTGGCTGCTGTAGTCTTAAGTTTTTAAAATAATTTTTCTACTAAAATGCATTTTTAAAAGCTATTGCATCTTTTCTGCTGTGATCATAAAACACTAACCCCTTTTTATTCCTCTGTAAATATGCTTAATTTAGGTTTGCTTTGTCAACTAGTGAATAAGTGCTGATCTTGTGTTGTTCCTTTAAGCTGCTACTCATGGTATCTTTATTTCAGTAGTAAAAGTCATGAAGGAGACAAATTCATCCCTGCTCCACCATCTTCTCCCTTGAGAAAGCAGGAATTAGAAAACCTAAGGTAAACTCTGTCATCCAAAATGAACTACAGGTAGTCCTCAACTTATGACTATTCGCTCAGCAACCATTTGAAGTTACAACAGTGCTGAATGAAGGGACTTACAACTGGTCCCTCAAGTTATGGTTATTGCAGTGCTCTCGCGGTCACATGATCAAAATTCAAGTGCTTGGCAGCCCGCTCACACTTAAAACTGCAGGGGCGCTTCAACTCCCCCTACCCACCTATCTCCCCCCCCATCTATGCTGTTTTTGCTCCCTGCACTCTGCGGCTTCTATTGCCCTAGCTGACCTTCGCTGTCTTCCGGCTCCCACTACTGACCAAATATGCCCAGCCTGGCCCTTTGCGAAGCAGCTGCTGGCTGCACAAGGCTTTCTTCCCAAGGTCGCATGCAGCAGTTTCCTCATGAGACCTGTGGAAGATGGCCTCACATGGCCAGCAGCTGCCCCACAAAGGGCCAAGGCAGGCAAGCCTTATCAGCAGTGGGAGTAAGAGGACAGCAAAAGTCAACTGGGGCAGTGGAGTGGATTAACAAGCTATCCATGTCCTTGCCTACTGAATGACACAGCTTTACAGTAAGTATTTGTATCTCAGTGAGACATAACTTCCTGTGAAATTATTTTTGCTAGCAAGAGGTCTGTCTAGAATAAATGTAGGGATCAAGCTTATAATTTGTCATGAAGGCTGCCACAGCGACACACTTACTCAGTCTCTGCCTTCAGTGGAAATGGTAGGTTCTCATACATTAACCAGTGATTGTCTCTGCCTGAGGTGTGTATCTCAGCAGCTTATGATTTCACTGTTTACATGCTAGTGGTTGTCATCAGTTGGAGCTTTCTGGAGCAAATCTTATGGAAGGAGGTGAGGAAAGGAGAGAATCCCATCAAGTGAGCAGAGTGCTGCTCTGGCAACTTTGAATTCTGTCCGTGTGGAGATACTAATATATGAATTATTGTCCTATCTGAAGCATTAGTTATGGGGTATGCTGCTTGGCAGAACATACAGTCAGGTCCAGAAATATTGGGACATCGACACAATTCTAACATCTTTGGCTCTATACACCACCAGGCCATGGAACAGCTGAGAAGCCAATTGTCCCATTACTTTTGGTCCCTTAACAAGTGGTGGCTTGCTTCACTGATAGTGACAGCTCTTTGGATCTCATCTTGAGAGTTGACAGCAACAGATTCCAAATGCAAATAGCACACTTGAAATGAACTCTGGGCCTTTTATCTGCACATTGTAATTGGGGTACTGAGGGGATATCACACACCTGGCCATGGAACAGCTGAGAAGCCAATTGTCCCATTACTTTTGGTCCCTTAACAAGTGGTGGCTTGCTTCACTGATAGTGACAGCTCTTTGGATCTCATCTTGAGAGTTGACAGCAACAGATTCCAAATGCAAATAGCACACTTGAAATGAACTCTGGGCCTTTTATCTGCACATTGTAATTGGGGTACTGAGGGGATATCACACACCTGGCCATGGAACAGCTGAGAAGCCAATTGTCCCATTACTTTTGGTCCCTTAACAAGTGGTGGCTTGCTTCACTGATAGTGACAGCTCTTTGGATCTCATCTTGAGAGTTGACAGCAACAGATTCCAAATGCAAATAGCACACTTGAAATGAACTCTGGGCCTTTTATCTGCACATTGTAATTGGGGTACTGAGGGGATATCACACACCTGGCCATGGAACAGCTGAGAAGCCAATTGTCCCATTACTTTTGGTCCCTTAACAAGTGGGTGGTGGTGTATAGAGCCAAAGATGTTAGAATTGTGTCGATGTCCCAATATTTCTGGACCTGACTGTAGGTGATCTGTGAAAAAATGCTATAGAATTGGAGGCCATTTTGAAAAGATATACACCATGAAGGATGCATAATAAAAATGAAGCAGAAATACTTTCCCTCCAGTTTTGCTCATTTTTCTTCTGGAACTAATGCAAAATAATACTTCAGGAGAAAATTGTAAGTTGAATGTAAAGATTTAAAATGGCCCCAATGTTTTAGCTCAGATCTGCTATTCAAAATATTAGAGCTGTACAGCATTTTGAAATGGATGGCAAAAGGGTTCTTCAGAGGCGTGATGTTGCTCATGTATCTGTGTGTTGTTCATAGTAGCTGCATTTTTTGCTAGGATCATACATCTGTACTCCGTAGCTGCTAGGCAGCCCTGGGAAAACACATATATGGGTTCTGGAGTTACAGGCATGCTCCAAAGCAGCTTTTTGCCCTCAAATCTGAAGCGCTATACAGTATAGCCCTACAGTACTAAATGCTGTTTTATTTTTTTCAGAAAGCAAGTTCATTAGCTTGCAAATACCATTGTGGATTGTGCTTCAAATTATGTTATACTGAATAATGCTAAACTTGATTGTGGCTGTAATTTGGCATAGCTATATAAAATTTTTGATTTCATCGACTAGCAGATTTGACCATGAAAGGAGCAATATTGTTCCTTGGAGGCATAGAAACTATTGCAATGTATTTCTGAAATAAGCAGTTATTAATAAAGACTGAAAATGAATCAGTTTGACTGACATTCTGCAACATAGTACAAGTTGTGGAATCTAGCTCAGGTTCAGGTTTTTTTTCATGTGCTGTCCAATGAGTATACAAAAGAGACATCAGAGTGCTCAGTTAAAATTTAAATTTGAGAATGGGGCAGTGAAGTGTATTTTGTATGGATTCTTAGGTCCTAACATTTGGGTTTCCACACGGTGATAATTTCTGGGCAGTGGGAAAGAGAGACTGAGAAAATTATATAGCTTGCTTGATTTACATTATCTCTTCCCATAGAATATGTCTGGCACAATAGTGGGTCTATTGATTTGAAATACTGCAAAGGGTCTACTAAGAAATGTGTCTGCATATGAAAGTCAGTGTGGACTTGATAGGTTTGGAATCGATTCATTGCACAGTCTTTGTGGCCTGGTTTCTATTGAATATATCTACAGGAACAATCAGCCCCCAATACGTAGCCCCTACCCTGTTCCTCTAGGCAACCACTGCATTGATTTTAAGAAGCCAAATAGATTTGGGGCTTGAAAGGATGCCTCCTTTCCATGGCAAGCTTTTCATGGGTGAGATTTGAAGTGACATCTGGGCATGGTACAAAGGAAATGGGGAGGGGCAATGGAGAGGCTTCTCATCTTGCCCATCTATAATTAAAGAACATGCCTCCTGGGACTCAGAAATAAAGAAACCCCAGACCCTGCCATGAATTAACGTGGCTTATTGCTGAAGCAAAAGTGGGCTTGACAATTTCCAGAAGCAGTAATTGCCCATCTAGTGGCTAGCGGGTTTAATATACTCGTCTTGCAGCTCTACAACACATCAGATCTGTTAGATCGTGTCCCTTATATTCTTTTGTATTATTATTATTGGAAATGGAATCTCTTATTGTAGCAAGGAAAACATTTGCTTCTGCCCTAAAACAAAGGCAGCTTGCCTTGAACTCAGTCTTCTGAAGTGGAAAATATCCAAAAGTGCTGGGGAGGGGGGGAAGGGAGGGAGGCAGGGGTCACAGGCTGTAAAAATCTGACCTAATACTTGCATCCTTATGGGCCTTGTGCGTGAAGCTGTGGAATGTGTAGCTCAAATTTCAGGAACAAGCATTTGAGGACCAGCTTGTGTTTTATGGAATTGTTGGTGAATATTGTGGAAAAAAAGGCTTTTTGCTTTGTTTTTGTTGTGGTTTCATAGATTCTGGTGGTACCATTTTTTTTCAAATTTTAATAATAATGCTGATTGAAAATTGCTGCTATTCCTTGTGAATAGACATAATTAACAGCTTCTAGGGCAGCATGAATAAGAAAAGCACTCATCAAGAGTGGAATGTATTGAAATGTGCATGCTTTCATCCAACAGGGATGGGTCAGCATTCTAATATAGGTTATTTCTTTTGCAAATTTTCTTAAGGTATGCTAAAATATATTCATACTGGTATCTATATGTGTCCATAAACTAAGTATCCTTTTCTTTTTCTCTCCTAGATGTTCCATGCTTGCCTGCAGTGCTTATGTGGCTTTGGCACTGGGGGACAACCTTATGGCTCTGAGCCACGCAGATAAACTTCTTCAGCAGCCCAAACTCTCAGGATCGCTTAAGTATGCTTGACCTTATCTTGCTGTTAGATATTAATAGGCTATTTCATTCCTGTATATATAGTGTAGGCATAGCCTTCAATGTAATCAACAAGGGATAGTGAACAGATGCTTTGGTAGGGCGTTGTTTTTATTATCGTTGTGGACAGAGCTTCAAATTCAAAGACAGAAGGGTGCTTTGCAGCAGGTAGAGATGGTCACCCAGCTCCAGTCTGCATCTTGTTCAGCCAGCCACCCCTTTCCCATGATTGCGCTCCTACCCTCTTCAGCTGCAGCATGAGCCTTGAAAAGACACATTGGGTTAAAGGAGTTATAGGACAATGCTAGGTTCACACCCCCACAGGCTCCAAAACACCTTCAAGCCACAACCCTGGCTTTTATTTTTCTGCCCTTCTTTCATCTTACCAATAAAGTATTATACAGCTTTGCAGTGCGGGAAGTGAGAAATACTAATCAGGCTTGGAAGATGCCATTCGATACCCAGCAATGTATTTAGCGTAATAAAATCTCAGCTGGTTGGTGATCCTTACCAAAGCAGGCAATTAGTCATGAATAGATTTATATGGGTAGCAGGGGACCAAGAAAGAGTAGTGAACAACTCCTTAAATATATGAGCAGTGGCCGTTTTGTGCAGGTATCTCTTTCTACTGAATTTGATGTGCAGATTAGCTAGAAGCTGCTACTGAGAGAAGAATCCACATTCTCTGCTTTTCATTAATTAGTTGCCTGCTTGATGCAACTTGTTGCAAGATTGATCTTTTTCAATGTGCTCTTGGTGTTGTAGGTTCCTTGGCCATTTGTATGCTGCAGTGGCCCTTATTTCTCTGGACAGAATCTCTGATGCTATTACTCACTTGAATCCTGAGAATGTCACTGATGTGTCCTTGGGGATTTCTTCAAACGAGCAGGATCAAGGTTAATGAGTCGTAGTTTATTAGAATCAGTTATGCTTTCAGCTGTCTTTCTGTGTAACTTGTAAGGGCTCTTCCTTTTAGTACTACATTGTTTCAAAGGACATTGCTTCTGCCTGTACATTTTCTAAAGTTAATGCATTCTTGACAGTCACTGAAGAATACATACAGGTAGTCCTCTCTTAACAACCACAATAGAGACCGTAAAATTTGTTGTTAAGCAGGGCAGTTGTTAAGTGAGCTGTACCGGATTTTATGACCTTTTTTGCAGTGGTCATTAAGTGAATCACCATGGATGTTAAGCAAATCATGTGGTCATTAAGCGAATCACATGGCTCCCTGGAAACCGCCTGGGAAGGTCGCAAATGATGATCACTTGACTCCAGGATGCTGCAACTGTCATAAGTGCAAGCTGGCTGCCAAGTGCCTGGATCATGATCACGTAACCATGGGGATGCTGCAGCAGTTTTAAGTGTGAGGACCAGTTGTAAGTCCTTTTGTTCAGCACCATTGTAACTTTGAACGGTCACTAACCAAATGGTTGTTACTGAGGACCACCTGTATTGTCTTACTCAGATTTGCCTCAGCAGTTCATGTTTGTTAAATACTAAATTACACAGAAATGAAGGTTATCAGCTTGTAATTCTAATGCAGGCATCCTACAAAAACATATAAATGTATATAAGACTAAAAAATAGATCTGTAATTTCCTCAAGTTAGGGGTGTGCAAAATGTTCCAAGCTTGAAATTTTTGTGCTCATAATGGACATTTTAAACTTGAAACAAATTAGCCACATTCTGAAAGCTTGTTTCAAGCGTAGAACAAAACACAGGGATTGGCTGCTTCAGGTTGTTCTAAGCACTCTGGCTGTTCCCAATGCTGTGATTGGTTGGTTCTGCAACTGGAAGGCATTGCTGTTTTTCAGACTTCTTCCAGTCTAGTCAATATAGGAGCAAGCTGGTCATGTCCCTCTTGCTATTGGATGGAGTGATGTGTGGAGTGGATTACTGACAGAGAGCAGCAGTTATTTAAGCTCTTAGCTCAGGGCCCGAAAAGCTATTTGGACTGTACTTTGCTGCTGCAGAGAGAGGACTGCTTCTGACAAATAATTTTGACTAGAAGAGACATCTACTGTAGCTGGAGCCTCACTGGCCAAGTGCTTTGGGCAGTCCCCATTCCACATCACATTTTAATAGTCATTCATTTATCCTATTTCCATACCAACAAATCCAACAAGGACGCACTGTGGTTTACAGCTGATAATTAAAACAATCACAATAAAATAGTTAAAAATCTATGGTAAATCAATTAATTCAAAATTATTAATATTAAATCTGAACGTAGTTACAGTACTTTGACAAAACACTGGCAACCACTCCAGCAACAACCATAACCACTCCATCTTTTGCACTTTCTGTAATGTCTTCTTGGAAAGTGATAATCTTATTTGTAAGGGAAGGATATTCCAGAGCCCTAACCCAAAACTGTACCTCCTAGTCTTGCCACCCCTACTGTGCTTCAGTTTCAAAGCAGGGAAAATACTGGAGAAGAGAGATTCCCCCTCCCCCCACCCCCAGTCTGTTTTTCAGTTCACCTTCCTTAAGGTTCATCTCCCCTCTACCCTCCTGATAAGGTCTACATGCTTATTTGGGAGAAATTAATTCTCACAACTAGGAGTGTGTATATTCTCATCCTGATAGTACTGCACATGTATAGAATTAATACTGCATTCTCATTTTAAATCAAAGTTCATCTTTAGAGCTTCTTCAAGATTAGGGCTAGCCAGCTACATCCATCATCTCTTTCCACCAATCACAGCTGTGGAAAAGTAGAAGGATCAAGGTCTCTTGACCAGGGAAAGGGGAGCATAGCAGCTGTTGCATTGTCACTGAGACTGAAGCTGAGCCCAGTGCTGGGAGAAAGAGAGGAGATAGTAGTGCTAATTGCAGGCCAGCCAGTTAGTAAGCAGGCCTTGCTGCTGCTGGGTTTGGTGACCCAGAAGACCCAGCAGATATCCTACTCCACTAAAATGTGTACCCTACAATTCCAAGGGCAGTGCAGCATGGTATCACTTCAGGCCTGATCTCAGGTTCTTACGCTATGTTATTTGCATAGAAGGGGTCAGCAGAGCCAGGGTATAAGCCTAAGTCTCTGCCTAACTATTTAACTATCTTCGCCACTGCTGGTGGTAATAGGGCAAACCAAGTTATTAGTTAGTGACAAGGTACCTGCTCTGAAGCAGCCAACCACTGGCACTGGTGAAATAGCCAGGCAAACAAAAGGCAGTTCAAAAGCATCACAAGTGATGTGTATTGTTGTGCTAATGATGCTTTGAAATGACAGTTGCTTTGATTGATTGACTGATTGATTGACTATATGCCATCAAGTGGTTTTCAGCTTCTAGTGACCACATAAGACAGATATACTCCATGATGATCTATCTCTAACCTAGTCCTTCAGCTCTTCCACTGGCGCCCCCATCACCACTGTAACTGAGTCCATCCACGTTGCTGCTGGTGCTGATCGTCCTCTTCTCTTTCCTTCCACCTTTCCCAGCATTACAGCTTTTTCCAGAAAGCTGGGTCTTCGCATAATGTGTCTGAAGTAGGATAATTTGAGCCTGGTCATTTGTGCCTCGAGTGAGGCACATGTACACACACACGTACATGTTCATATACACATGCATAGATACATACATACATGTTATAATTAATGGAATTCCATTATGTCTTAAATATTATGTATTCTACGTGTGATTACTTCTGGTTGCTTTAGTTTTACTTCTTGTTCAAATTAGTAGTTAGCCCCTCAACACAGATTACATTTTGTCAACATTATACTTTTAATGCATGATGTGCTTATTATACCTTCTGGTTGGTTTCTCTTCAGGGTCTGATAAAGGAGAAAATGAAGCCATGGAATCATGTAAGTTTGTGTACGTCTGTAAACTAACATCTTCCCATTTATTCTACAGTATAAAGTAACTGGAAAATCCAGTTTACTTTGTATCCAGTTTTTTTAGCTTATGCTACAGATCAAAACAATACTTAAATATCATTTTATCAGTGGGTTTCATAAACCTGTCAGCACCTTACTAGATGGGTCAAATAAGCAATTCAGGTTTAGTCACTCCCCCTTTTCAGTAGCTTTTTGCATTTTTTTGCAAATACAGTTTTTACTAAGTGTTTTTAAATACAGGTAATCCCCAGTTTAAGAATGAGTTCCGTTCCCAAGGTCTGTCTTTAAGTTGAATTTGCATGTAAGCCAGAACAGTATTATTGTATAATATTGTATAAGTAGTATTGTGTAACGAACTCGAACCATTGTGTATTTAACTTGAATTTTGCTACAAAGGGCTCCGTTCTTAACTATGAATTGTCTTTAAACTGGGCATTCTTAACCTGGGGACTACTTGTCCAAAAAGTAGAGTGAAAATCCTATCTCCAAATATAAAACATAATATTTTGGCATCTGTAGCCCATTCAGGTGATCCAAATTCTGAGAGATGTTTCTTTTTCATACTGTTATGTTCACTGTAGTGAATGCTACTTGTCAGCTTAGCTACAGTTTAAGAAACTATTCTTGTTTTGCATTTTCTTGGGAAGCTCATATTTCCTGCTAGCAACTCTTCTATTTCTGAATGCTGATTAATCTTTAGCTTTATTCCCATTTTTTACATAGTTTAACTATGGCACTCTGTATCAATTTTAATCCAGCTGGCAAGCAAACACCCCAGTGTTATCCCAGTTCTGTTACATCTGCACGAACCATGATGCTGTTCAATCTTGGAAGTGCCTACTGCTTAAGAAGCGAGTATGACAAAGCCCGGAAATGTCTGCATCAGGTTAAAAAAAAAAAGGTTTTCTTACATTGTTTCTTGGGGAAACTGTTAAAATATGGCCAACTGCAATATTAAAGCAAGATCTAGATTCACTTCGTTGTTTTCATTGGAACAATATTTGACTCCCATCCTAACAAGCTGGAAGACAGGACTCTTTCCTCAACCATGGAAGTTAAGCATTCTCTGCAGATGTTTCCAAAACCTACTTAATATGTGTTGCCCTCTGTGCACATCCCAGAGACCACACCAGAGAAATAATATTATTTCCAGTAGGGTAGCAAGCCTTGAACAATATCCCACTGTCAAACATATTACCTGTTTGGGAAAATCTCACTGTGGTTTAGAAATGGTCTTGTTTAAACATATGCTTAAATTTATTTAATTTAAAAGATCATTTGGGAGGGAAGAGATGTCCATTAAATTACATAATTGATGTAAGTACATCTTTGTGTCAATTTATGTAACCACCAATGATGCAAATTGATGCAAATGATGGAATCATGTTATTTATCTGCATTGCTTTGGTAGCAACAGTCTTTATTCTTTGGGGATGAAATTTGACATAAAATGCTTTTCGTTGTATTGGAAGTCTACTGTATTCTTTCATAAAAAGTACATTAAGTTAATTTATCTCTTCTATAAGGCTGCCTCACTAATTCATCCAAAAGAGATTCCACCAGAAGCTATCTTACTGGCTGTATATCTTGAGCTCCAGAATGGTAAACAATTGCTCTTTTTTTAATTAAATTTTTATTAAGTATTTTTAAGAAAAGGGGGAAAAGGAAAAGGAAAAAAAGACACACACACAAAAGAAATGAGAAAAAGGAAAAATAAAATACAAAATAGATAAATAGGGAGTTTACAGGCATTACAGAATTAGGTTAGCATTTTCAATATTTCGTGAATTAGTTTTAAGTAACTGAGTAAAGTGTATTGTTTTAAAAACTACAAATCATTGTCAAAATCCAAGTAAGATATGACTATCAATAGCAGTAGTCAGCGTAGTATAAATCATAAAAGATTAAGAATTACAGTAATTTCTATCCAAGTAATTAAAGACTTTATGTCAAGAGAAAACCAAATTTTTGATGTGCTACAAGACTGTATATAGTGTTGTAATCTAAACATGGTTTCCAAGTTGAAATAAATTCTGTGTCAAAGTTACTTTTGAAAAAATTAAGTTATTTTAGACATTGAGGCATAATTAAGAGCTTAATTAGCCATTCTGCAAAAGGAACTATGAGTACCTTCAAAAGGAGGTGTAGAGTAGCATTGCAGCAGTTACCACATACAGAGCTAGTTCAGTATACTTTGTGGGAATGTAAGATTTAGTAATGTTTAATATAAAAACAGCAGGTTGGAAAGGAAATTCAATTTTTCCAATTTGTTTCTATTGTAAATCATTTTCCAAAATTGTTGAACTTTACAACATTGCCACCAAATATGGAAAAATGACCCAATGAGTTAATTGCATTTCCAATGATTTTTAGAAAATGAGCTGTATGTTTTAGTAATCAATACTGGAGTAATATACCAGTGGTAAATCATCTTATACCAGTTATCTCTAGATATACACGTAGTCCTCTATTTACAACCACAATTGGGACTGGAACTTCCATTGCTAAGCAATGCAGTCATTAAGTGATTCATGCCTGTTTTTATTACCTTTTTTGCCACGGTTGTTAAGTGAATCTGGCTTTCCCCATTGACTTTGGTTGTTGGAAGCCCCCCGGGAAGATCACAAATGGTAATCATGTGACCCTGGGATACTGCAACCATCATAAATACATGCTGGTTGCCATGTGCCTGAATCTTGTCATATGACCGCGGGGATGCTGCAGCGGTCATAAGTGCAAGGACCGGTCATGAGCCACCTTTTTAGCACTGTCGTAACTGAACAGTTGTTAAATGAATAGTCATAAGTCGAGGACTACCTGTAATATTCACTGTGAATTTCATATTTTCCCATTGTTGCATATCAGTTCTTGTATCTAAATTCTACATCCATTTAATCATACAGTCTTTAACTTAATCAGTTTCTGATTCGTATTTCACCATTATGGTACATTTTTGTGATAAAAAACCATTTACTATGATCTTGGCTTCTTGTTTTTTATTAAAACTGTGTCCATTTAAAGAAATTAGAGCTACAATTCATCTTCTTCAGAGTTGTAAGCGTGAAAGACCATTCCAAATTATCAAAAGCTTACTCTGCACCAAGAAAGAATATGGTTGCCCTCTCATTTTATCAATAGCATTCAAGATATATTGGCTGTCATAAACTTTGGGACAAATCCAGTGTGGTCAGGATGTATTAATTGAATTAAAAAACGATTTCTTCTTTTTGCAAGTATTGTGAAAAGCTTGTAGTCTACATTTAATACAGAAGTCTATACAATTCTGAATAGTTCAGGTCATTGCTTTCCTTGTAGATCAAAGAAATGAAAGCTTCTTTCCATAACAAAGAGAGTTCTTGACTTCATTAATTACCTAAGATAGTGGTCTAACCAAAATTTCTTGAAAAGTCTTGTTGTATATTGTAGAGATGTCATCAGATCCTGGAGATTTGTTCAGTTTCAGTTTTCTGATTGCTTCTTTAGTTTCATGTTTGGTTATGTGTTGAGAATCTTCTTTTCTTGATCTGTAAGTTTTCTAATTAGTATTATATTCAAGTACTGAATATTTCTGGATCAGATGTCTGTTTACTACATAATCTTGAACTTATTTAACAAATCGTTCCATCATATCCTTGTCTAGTTCACATGTCTAGTTCGGTACCAAATAGAAGTAATAGTTCTTTGGTCTTGTTCATTTTCACAGTTGGTAAGCCAACAGTTTGACTGACTAGGTGCCTTTTTCAAAATATTTCTATTTGACAAAATTCAGCTTTATATAGGACTCATTTATTCAGATATTCATTTCTTTCCATTAGATCTAGTTAATTATGAATCACTATAATATTTCGTTCTAAGTCCAAAACTGGATTACACTTGTGTCTAAGTTCATTTAACAATAGGTCCTGTTCTTGCATAGGTTCTTTTTTTAATTTGACGTCAGTGAGATAAACAATCCTTTCATAAATGCTTTAGTAGAGTCCCATACAGTAGATAAAGAATCATCAGATGTTAAATTGATTTGGAAGAAACTCTTTAATTCTTCTTGGCACTTCAGTTTGAAGTTCTCTTATAATAGTAAAAGTTAAGTCTCCCCCTTCTTTAGTCTGGAGGGTCCTCTATTTAATCTTACAATTATTGTGTTATGATTTGCATATGTATGAGCTGTAATTTCCATGTCTGTGAGATTAGTTAATGAGTTAAAAATCTAGCACATACCTGTTCTAAAGTAAGTTTATGAACAGAAGATAGAAAGTATATTCTTTCTCTACATATTGAAAAGAGATAATAGTGACATATACTTGAAGACATTTTGAGGAAGTTGTACCAGAGTTCATTTTAGATAAAGCAGATGTGTCTATGTTTGGAGGAAAAAAAATCATATCTCCAAGAAACATAATGTCTTCCTCCACAATTTCAAGAAGAGATTAAAAATATCTTCCATAAAATTTTATTTTGTTGTCATTCGAGGTGGAAATTGAAGCAATGGTTATTTTCCCAGTCTGAATTATTTATCTCCCATCTTCATACTGGATTTGTTTTTCCAAACTCCATAGTCAAAATTAAAGTTAACAATTGCAAATGCAATTAATTGCACAATTAATATGTTATCTTATAAAATGCTATTGGATATTTTAAAATACATGCACTTCAACAAAGCCCTCATATACTTTGCTTCACATCAGCCAACTCATAATTGTTATGAATTAACAGCAAAGAAGAATCTCCAGATTGCAGCGTGCCAGTATGCTATGACTTGGAAAAAAGTAGACTACTTAAAGACTAGATTGCTAGGGATATTTATCATGGAAGGGAGTGAAAGTAGGTTACAGCAGTATTTCTCAACCTTGACAACTTTTAAGATGGCTGGACTGGGGAATTCTGGGAGTTGAAGTCCAGCTATCTTAAAGTTGCCAAGGTTGAGAAAAACTGGGTTACAATATTTGGAAGGTTTTATTGAGCTAAGAGGGCATAAGCAAATGCAGGTAGTCCCTGGGTTAAGAATGCCCGGGTTAAAGACATCCATAGTTAAGAACGGAGCCCATTGTAGCAAAATTTGAGTTAAATACATAATGATTTGAATTAAATACACAATGGTTCGAGTTCATTACACAATACTACTTATACAGTATTATGCAATAATACTGTTCCAACTTACATACAAATTCAACTTAAGGACAGGACTTGGGAACGGAACTCGTTCTTTAATGGATCTGTAGTGCTTAGTTGAGTGTTGGCAATAGAATGCCCGGGTTAAAGACATCCATAGTTAAGAACGGAGCCCATTGTAGCAAAATTTGAGTTAAATACATAATGATTTGAATTAAATACACAATGGTTCGAGTTCATTACACAATACTACTTATACAGTATTATGCAATAATACTGTTCCAACTTACATACAAATTCAACTTAAGGACAGGACTTGGGAACGGAACTCGTTCTTTAATGGATCTGTAGTGCTTAGTTGAGTGTTGGCAATTTCAGTCCATTGGGAAGAGATTGTTCTGGTTATCAGGCTTTTGGTAAGTTAGTTGCAGAAGTGTAGCAAAAGTGAGTGGAAAAGATTGTTTTTACAAATTAATTCCAATTCTTAGCCAACTTGTGTGTCAAAACTGATGTTTTCAGTGAAAAGCTGAAACACCTCTGTGCCTAAGGTATCAGATTTCAGGATACCAGTCTAATATTGTTTTAGAAAAACATTTAGGTAAAGTTACATAAGTTAATGTTCGCTTAGGTTCTTAGGCAAACATAGAAGAATGTATCCTGAATAGGAAAGGTTGCCATCTCTCAGCTTCACAGATTCTTTGTGTGATTCTTTGCACAAAATGTCTTGTGCATCCTATGCTCAATCTGTGTGTGTGTGTGTGTGTGTGTGTGTGTAATAGTTAAAGACTAGTGCAGTCATGGGAAAAAGTAGAAACTGAATTTCGCCTGCCAAGAAAGGAATTGGCTGACATTCCTTTAAATGTTAAATCATTTCATGTGTCATTTATTCTCAATAAAATAGTAATGAAAATCCAGCTATAATGGCAGTTGAGATTTTGTGAAGCATACCTCATGTTTCATAGGCTTGTCATATATCAGATCTTAATAAATTTTGAAATTGTTTTTTAGGCAATACTCAACTGGCGTTGCAAATCATCAAAAGAAACCAGCTTCTCCCTTCAGTGAAAATGCTCTCTGAAATACGAAAAAAACCTGTATTCCAACCTCCCCACTTGGTTCAACCTATTCAGATGCCAACATTTACCACTGTTCAGAGGAAGTGAACCTCTGTAAACAGAATGGCCCTCTGAGGGAGCACTTAAGATTTGTTTTGTAATTTTTAAAAACTGTTTCTTGTATCTGCATATATCATGCATTAAGGTTTTTTTTCATTTAAGAATAAAATCCACAAAAAGACTGAAGATTCATTTTAATATTTTCAAGATTGTTATTTATGATGTTCATTGGTGTTTTTCCTGTGAATCCCTTTATAGTCCAAAATGATGTGGCTGTACTTCAAACCTGCATGTATCATCTTGGAGGTCTTTTCACTTTTAACACTTGGTCACCTCTGTTTATATGTATCTTCCATCAACCTTTCTGGGCAGTGAGTATCACATGGCTGATCTTGAAAAGGTTAAGCAAGGTCAGATCTGGTTAACAGGATGGGAGATCACCAAGAAATCCCAGAGCTGTAGACTAGATTGGGAAATCAAAAAGCTACACTGAAGACAAGCAGTGGCAAACCATTTCTGCACCGCTCCCAAGAAAACTGCACGGGCATGTCTGTGAAATCACCAAGAGTTAAGCTCAGCTTGAGGGACCATTGCCAGACTGTAGCAAGTATGAGTTATGCCACAGTATGGCAACAGCACTGTAATGGGGTGTGGGAAAGACCTTGGGAGACAGCGGTGAGGGAGAGATGCTGCCTAGGGAAGTGTCAGATAAGAGTCAGCATAGCCTGCAGCTGCAAAATGGGTGGGGCAAGAGGCTCAGAAGAGACCCTCCCTCATTTTTTGGGCTGTAAAGGAGAGGGCAGGAAAATCGTACTTTCATCATCAATAATAAAGCCAAAATCTTGCATGGTTTAGTACTACTAAAAATAACTTGGGATTTTGCAAGAATGTGTTTTCCATTTGAGCATTTCTTGATTTTTCATTGTATTGCATCTACCCTTGTCAGAACTGAATCTTCTGCCCTGTTCAGCAGTAAGAATCAGCAAAAATAGCATTCTTGAATCATCTCAAAATTATAGGAAATCTAAATGCTCTGCTGATTCATGGGAACAGCTCTTGAGCATACTAAAAAAAAGCTGCCCAGGATAGTGATCCTTGTTAATTGTGTTGCATGTTGTAATTGATGTTTTTTAAAAAGTCAAAAACTAAGGATAGTGCTAAAGTACATAGTTCTTAGGGATGTTCAAAACATTATCTGCACAGAATACCAGCTTTCAGGTGGGCTGTGTCCAGTATTCTGTTTATAACCTGAAATATGGCTCAGGCAGAAGTACATGGGTGGGTGGGGGTCAAGAGTGAGAAAAAGACAAAGACATCACTAGCAACAGCCATAAAGAAGGTGCTAAGAAGATTGGGGGCAAGGGCTGGAGAGAGAGAAACATACACCAGCTTTACCTTATGGATTCCATGCAATTCCCCTCAGATTTTGCTTCACCCAAAACCCAGAACCGCAGCTGATCTAAAATGGTTGGCAGAACTTCCAGGACGTGATTTGTTCCAGTCTAGAACACAAGATTCCACTTTGTGCAGGCCCCTACTGGCCTGCTGAAATTCAGTCTAGTTATGTACAATTTGGCTGCTATCAAAACTTCACATGTTTAACTGATGGTATTTAAGCACATACTGCTTTGACTACAAAGAGGCAAACATTCGTCAATTTGCTCTTTACAACCTTCTCATGTAACTGCAGCTTCACAGTAGAGGGAGAAATGCTTCAAATTAAAAAGGGCTGTGAATTATGTCAGGCAACATATTATATGGATAAAAGCATTAATAGGAAAAACAACATGGGTGTGCTATCTGCCCCCAGAGACATATGAAAAGGTGTGGACAACTATTTTGGGAGGGGAAAAAAAAAAGACACGGTTGAAGTGAAACTCACATTTATTTGATTAAACAAAAATAAAATAAACTGCATAGAAACATTTTAAAGTCCATGGAGACCATGACTTTGTTTTAAGGCTGCCAGTAGCTGATACATCGTCTCCTTGCTACATCCTTCAGCCTTCTCCATGGACCACAAAGATACATTCAGAAGCCTCCATTTTAAAAAAAACCACACAAGTTCTAACATTTTAGCCTGTTCAAATAAAGCTTGTGCCTCACCTTTCCCACTTTACTCTGCAGTCTAACAGCAATAGTTGGAGTGACCAAATTTTAAAAGTTAAGGGCTTTCAACTGAGTAAGAAAATAACCTTGGCCAAGCCCAGCAATAATACATAGAAGAGATTTGTTCTATGAGACTTTTACTATGTTTTCTTCTAATAAAACAAATCCAAGGTGTACTCAGCAGTATATGAACCACTAAAATTCAACCTGCTCAAAAGAAGTATATTTTCCAAAACCAGGCAGAATCTTACGCAGTCCTGCAAATAAATGAATTGTTTCAAAAAGTTTGGGAGAAATTTGATTTATAAGAAGTTGTGACTAATCAATGGAGGGATTTGATCTGCAGAGTTTCTATGCTGATTTTTGGAGTTGATTTGGTCTTAGACCAACCATGGGGTTTAGGCACAGAAAAATACTGGAAATGCTCTTTTAAAAAAAAAAAATAACCACCAAGGCATGTCATGCTAATGCTACTTTTAAAAAAGGGTCTAGCACTATATAAACAAATGTGTAATAGGTGAGGCACAGTACAAGGAACATCACATACAAGATAGGAAGAGCCATCAGTTTGGATGACTGAACACACATTACATAACCTATTTAAAAATATATATATATATATATGATGGGAGGCTACAAACAAGATCTCCCTCTGGGAAAGAAGCTACATTTACTAAGAAATCTATAACGCTACAAAAAGAACTTACTAGTTTGGTGGCTTAAAGAACACCACACTCTACTACATACACTAAACATTCAGTTACCAAAGCTCTGAAAAAGGAGCTTACAACAAAGTAAAAAATCAACCTGAGTTTGTAAGTTGATACAATCATTGAAGAGGTCTAAGACCATGCAGGTACACAAAGCATTTTTAAAAAACTTTTTTCCTGAAGAATCATTACTTGAGGGATGGGGAAGAGAATGGACCCAACATTTGTCAAGCTGCAAAACTGCTGAAAGGAACACCAGAAAGACATCTTCCATCCAAGCTCAACACAGCATAACTGCAGAGTAGTTTTCTATGTCCATTTTAAGCAAGACTGAGGAAGTGGTGATAATCCACAGGGTGTCCAGAGTGTGCTTGCATTCTAGCTTTGCGGCATGCAGGAAACAATGGATGAAATAATCCAGTCTAAGCTGCTTTGGGTAGGAATCCTTTGTCTAAATAAACTACGTCAAAATTTGCAAAACAAAAAAAATCAGTGTAAGAACCCTCAATCTCCTTCCACTTAATGGAAGTGGAAATATTATTATTTCTTTTAATAGACTTGACTGCTTTGGAGAATTTACCAGGCATTTCCAGATCTCTAGAAGATGACTGTTCAATAAACTTGCTATAAATACAACATATTTCTTTCTGTCAAGAGAGGAAACCTATAACTGCAATGACTCTGTAACTAGCATTAATTCACTGTGCCAACCAGCTGGGTTAAATACTGAAATAGGCAGAGGTGGGGTGTGTTCCCTAGACATACGTTCATAGAGAAAGAGGATTAATAGATTTGCCTGAGGTGTCCACTTTTAGGTCAGGTAGCCTAATGTTAAAGGGAAACACAGCCATGTTAGATTCCAGGATGTATTGCTCTTTGGAGCAAGAAGGAGAAAATGCTACCTGGTTTTCAGGTGGCTTCCTGGCCATGCTGAACACCCAACTTCTCCTCTGACTTCTCAATACTAACTTTGAGGTAGATGCTGTGCTTCTAAAGTTAAAAGTGAGGTAGGAATTTAAAACACTTCTTCAAGCTTCCTGTACCACAGCAAATTGGGGCTTGCTGGTTTCCCAAGGACTCAAGGACCATAAACAGTGTTTGTCTAACACAAGTACCAATATTTACTTTTTACACAGCTTAAAACTGTGTGTGGAGGTAGGGTGGGGTCTCTAAACTTTCTTTTTTAAAAAATACCCTATTACCTTTTGGCACCATTTGGATATGTGCATGTTTTGTTTTTTTTTAAATGACCACATAAAATGCTTTGGCACTTATTTTGAACCAGAACTTAATATAAGAATCTCCTAATCTTCAAAAGAAATCAGAGATATGGCTAAAATCAAGCAGAGGCTTTTCTTCAATAAATTAGTTTTGAGCTTAACTAACTAAAAGCACCAGGATCAAATCATATGCAATTCCAGCTGGACGCCATAAGGAAGTGCCTCCCTTACTACCAGTTCTGATTAATCTTAGGCAGCGTATCATTTATAGGGTTTTCAAATGCCGTTAAAGTTTCCCCCAAAGTTGTATTTAAGAGTACACTGTTCAATTTACTGTTTGAAGTGGCTGCTATTTAGCAGCACCTGGGCTTTCAGGAAAAAGAAAATAAAACTATTTGAAGCAGAAGAAAACTAAATAATCTAACAGCTTATTGATTAGCCAAATTCAAACATTTATAGCACAACCACTCCCCAAATGCAGGTAAAAACTTTATAAATAAACATTTTGTAACTGAGATGTATTAGCTTAGTAGCCAAGAGCTGAAGAATAAACGCACGCTTACAAACTGTTTTCAAACCTTTGCTTCCCTAGTTTTAGTTTTGTACTCAATTACTGTCTATCTGGAGCCCAATAAGTCCACAAACAGCAAATACGTAAGACTTGAAATCCTGTGAGTTACATCCCAAATAAAACCAGACCCCTAGGGGGCATTTTTACACTGGCATTAAATGTTTTCTCTTATTATTATACTATTTAGCTTCATAGTATTATAAACACTCCCGTGTAGAAGCTTCAATAATACTTTAAAGTGAGATAAAATGTGCTTTGCATTTCCTATTGCAGTAACTGTACAGAAGTCACTCTGGGTAGCCAAACAGCAGCATATAAAAATTAAAAGCTTAATAATACACAAGCAGGAAAAAATGTATGAAAACACCACCCTTTTTTAAATTGTTTGCTTTGTGCCAAAATAGCAGATATATAGATCTGCAATAGAAATGAAGAACATATTTATGGATGAACAAACCGAGAACACACACCATTTCTTCCCCAGATGGGGTTCCTGACTTTGCAATCTTGTATAGCCTCTTAATGTAGGTATGTAAGTGTGCATATATATGTCTCTCAAAACAGAACTTCACTAGTTGGCAGTTTTCTGAGGCTAGAAGGAATGGATGGCACAGAGTTGCTATTGGACAAAAACTTCTAGAAGTAGCTTATTTTTTGAAAAGCTCACCAGAAAACAAGATTGGAATCAACAGAAGTAGCTGCTTCCATTATAAGCACACAGGGAATTCTGTCAACAATAAAATTAAAGCTTTTAACCAGTTATCTTTGGTAGCTATTTTGGAGAAACTAACATGTTACAAGTTTGTTACAAGTACAAACTCTAATCTGAAATGCCTTCATAGGTTATGCACTGGTCTTACATTAAGCTTGGCATCAAGATAAACATACTTTTGTTTCCAGTGACAATGGTCAAGCATTAACCCCTTCTTAAACTCCAGTTTCTGACAAGCATAATGTGATTGACATCTATGGACAAGTCTTCTGCTTAAAAAAGCAGTTTTTTAAAAAAAAATCTGAAACAGAAGGCATATTTCGTGTTCCAAGAGAAGAAAATCTTTCACAGCATTATCAAATGCAATCTTAAAATATTAATTCCACCTCCATCATATACTGTATTGGTCTGTCCATGGTCAAGAAGGCATTCCTTAGTTTCAGATATCCTAGCTTTTAATCCCTTAGCTCCAAAGCTCCTTCGCAACTTAGTTTTATGTCAGTTGTGGCAATGCAGAAATATTGAAAATAGCTTATGTTTTATCCACTCTACCCTAAACCTAATTTGAATCCTTGCACTCAAGAGATATTGGTGGTGACTAAAAGGAAACCACTGGGTCTGCCCAACTGATTTAAATAAGACATTAGAAATGCTAGGATAGTTCAGTGAAGGATTGTAGAATTGGTAAGATTCTGAACTCCCTGATTTCCTGGGAGAAGGATACAGTAATTAATTCTCCATTTATCAATGTAGCCATCCAGTTAAAGGATGAAACTCAATTTCCTCACATCTAGAAGTTAATTTCTTGGAAAAAATGCAAAAAGTGCAACTCATAACATCTTGGTCAGTTCAAAATGTTCATGGATAGTTCTGCCAGTAATTAATATATGGTTGGGCAGGGAGCATTATTTTTCATTAAAGAGCATTTCAGCCACTATATGAAATAATAGTTTATTGTCCCCTTCTGATTATTCAGTTCAAAAAGGAGGAGAAATCTCTTTGAAAACATCCAGATTGCTCTATCAGGATTTTGGATCTCCAAGCAGGATCCTAAAGAGGAGACATTACACCACATTACAGATATGACTCCAAGGACAGCCTTAGCATAGAGACTAAGCACCATAGCAACCCAGAACACATTTGCTCAAATATCAGTAGAGGTATATAGGGGTTAATGACAAAGCATGGAAGGAATTACATTCCTATGACTTGATACAAAATTTGAGTTACAGAGCTTCTTGGAGAAGTATAAACATTCTCAGTATTTTCAGTGCTAAATGTTGTGGCTGATTGAATTCAAGATATTCACTAGTTTTGGTTTTCGATATGCACCCCCATTTTACATGGCATTCTTTGGCGCTGGAGCAAATGAGGTAGGATTTAGGGTGGTTCACTTTCCACAGTGTTTATCCCAAAGAGGGAACTACATGGCTATCCTGCCAGGATGAATTTCCCATGTAGATGTTCCATTTAATAGGAGTGGGGAAAAAGAGCCTGAAAAAGGCAGGAAACCCTCAACTCAGATTAGTTACTACAATCTGCTTTCCTTCCTTCATCTGTAACTTCTGAAATGCACCCTGAAATTCCAAATTTCGGCTTCCTGTGATATATATATACCTGAAAAGTCACACACGTCTTGATAAAGCTACATTACAAAAAGCAAATTTCTTCAACACAAACCTTCAAAACAGAAGAAATATCATATCATGTCCAAACATTTGACTCATTGTAACGGCAACTGCACACACAGCCATGTTTGTCAAACATGTACACACACATACACACATTATGTAAGGGAAATGATTAAAAAAAAAACTGGAACAAAGGCTATGAGAAAAACGCTAGCCTAAAAGGAAATCCTCGTTTGCCTTGAACATCCATCTATATCAAAGCTACATTCCAAATATATCCTTTTGAAGTCAGAAAGGGCTTCTATTTGGGGAGACACATTCTCACCCAGGTAGCAGCTCCTTAGACAACAACAGAGGTAACTTCTAAAGTTTCCAAGTTTAGAGAGCAACTTTACCCAGCAGATAAAGAAGCTGTTTCCAAGAGCTGGCAGGCTCTCCAGGGCTGTCTGTCATGGATGGGTGGTTGGCCCTGTAGCCCTTTGGGCCGAAGTCCAAGCTACCAAAATAAGGTTGAACACACATCACAATGTTTTGTGCATCCTCAAACACTGTCTTGATGTTGTGAAGTCACTGCATTTTTCAAAATACACATGCAGACAAGTATCCATTAAAAAGAACCTAGCCTTTTTTGCCTGGTGATTTTCATCCCACTTCAGAAGACCAATGCCTTCTGAAACAAGACACTATGTGGAACAGTATGTCAAATGCACTGAGGTATTAAAAAAAGGAGAACAAAGAAAAGAGTTCTCTGCTGCAGCAGCATCTAAAAACACAGCTCCCTTCACCCCCTCCAATAAAAAAAAAACAAAGTACAATCTGAACATAAACATTTTTAAAAATCTAAAACTACTGATTTTTTTTTTCTTCTTTTTAAAGATGAGTGTGCCTTTTTGGCAGAGTCTACAGAATTTATCACACAACCAGCTAATGTGCACAGAAACATGCTTGTGCATGAATGTCCCATTCAGGGAAAAAAAGGCTTAATTTTATACTGCACTGTGTATACTGTGGAGGTAAAGGAACACAAAGATAATGAGGTAGATTAAGAGTTTATAACATCACAGGTTCACTCCCTGCAGATAAAAAGGGAAAGTACATTCATCTATAAAAAATTAAAGATGAGGTAGGTTTGAACTATCATTGTAGTATTTGTGTGTTTGTGTGGGGGTGTGATCTCTTAAAAGGATTTTCCCTGAGACAGTTTCTTCCTAGTACAGATAAACAGATTAGAAGACGAGGATTCGATTGTTTCCAAAGTCCACCACAACTATCATGCCATCTGGGGTGACTGTAATACCTGAAGGACGGTCCATCTGACCAAAGCCACTTCCCTGAGTGCCAAATTTGCATAAGAAACTACCATTCGGCTCAAAGATCTGCACGCGATGGTTCCTGGAATCTGCCACAATAATACGACCTTCCTGATCCACAGCCACACCTTGTGGGCGCAGAAACTGGCCATTATTTGTGCCTTCGGACCCAAGGAAACGGGCCGACTGACAGTCGGGATGGATGACTAGAAGACGATGATTGTTGAAATCGGTCACGACAAGATGGCCCTCGTGATTGAATGTCACGCCTCGTGGGGAATCAAAGTGCTTCCAGAGTGCTCCTTCAAAACCATATTTATTCAGGAACACTCCGTCAGGCCCAAACAGCTGAACCCGATGATTCCTCGTGTCGGACACCAGGATTTTTCCCTCGGAGTTTACTGCTACATCCCATGGGTAATTGAACTGACCATTCTTGGTTCCTTTCTCCCCAAACTTGAGAATGAACTGGCCATCAAAAGTGAAGATCTGGATGCGATGATTGTCCTTGTCTGCCACAACAATCCTCCGCGAGGAGTCACAGGCAACACCAGCAGGCCTATCGAACTGGCCAGGTCTGGAGCCCAAGGTGCCAAACTTGTGGTGAAAAGCCCCACAAGGCTTAAATATCTGAATGCGGTTGTTGCTACGATCGGCAACAATGATATAGCCTTCCTTGTCTACACTAACACCCCAGGGACGGCACAGTTTTCCATCACTATCCCCCTCACTAGCAAAACAGAGCCCTGGTAGTCCAATGCCAACATAACTGCGCCCTGATTTGACCATGACTTTAAATGGGCTGCTTTCTATATGCTGGTTGCACATCATGACTGAGATCAGATGTTCCCCTTCCATCTGAGGCCTGTAATTGACCAGATAGGTTCCATTCTGCTGGTCACATATATCAGCGCCAAAAAGATTTCCATCTGGCCCCATTACCACAGCTGAGATCATGTCCCCCCCAGAAAGGCGAGGCTCACCATCGTGGTCATAACCTATCACTGAGAAAGAGGCTACTTTGCCTTGCAATGCACGTTTGAGACCCTCCCCAGTGGCTTTGGTCAGAGGAGCAAAGGCCCCACTGCTGACAAACCCCATAGACTTGATGGCCATATACAGTGCCTGATCAGGAGGAGTGAACATGACCCTGTCATCCTCTTGAGGCTGCAGGAAGCCTCTTACATTCTTCATCTCCTGCACCTGTGCAAGCATCCGATCCCGTGCTAAGAGGATATCCATGTTCCGGCCCTCCTCTAAGACTTGCTGGACTGCGCTGATGGTGTTGTCTAGCTTATTGAGGTTTTGACGTAACTTTTCAACTTGCAGGTAGAGGGACTTGGCTTTCACTTGGCGGATTTTTTCCACCTAAAATGAGAGCAAAGAAACACATTTAGAGCTGCCAACTATAAATACTGTAGAGGATGGAAGAGTGTGTTTGAATGTGCAAAAGCAAACCTGCAAAATTGTTAAAGTTAATAAAGAATTTTGATATTCATCTTATCCCAAATTAAAATTTACTTATTTTATTTACTGTTGAATTTCTACCTAAGTATTCTTAGAAAGCCAGCCCATAGTGGCTTACAACATAGCATTATATAATAATCAATAAGGCACAACATAAAAACAATATATAACATATCATATAAAATATTTCCAAAATAGCCATTAAGCAAATCAATAAATACAAAGTGATACAGGTAGTCCTTGCTTAACAACTTTTAACGATGGTCCAGAGTTACGACAGCCTTGGGGAACACGCTTTATGACCCCCAGGGTCACGTGATCACAATTTGCAACCTTTTACTATAGTCATTAAGTGAATCACATGGTCATTAAGCGAATCATTTGGTCGTTCAGCAAATTCCAGCAAAAGCCATCCATTGGGAAAGCTGGATTTGCTTAATGACCATGTGATTCACTTAACAACACTCACAAAAGGTAGTAAAATCAGCTCCAATTTGTTTAACAACCAAATTGCTTAGCAACCTAAATTCTGGCCCCTATTGTGGTCAGATAGTGAGGACTACCTGTAATCAGAAAGGAAGACTAGCTTATAGAAGTGGTTTTTCAAATCTGACTAACCAAGCAGCCAGGAAGGATTAAGACCACTCCTCAGTAGGATGGAATCCACAATATTGGTGCTGCCACTGAGAAGGCCTAGTTGTTTCTAGCCAACTCTCCTTTTGGGGCACTCAAACCAGCCCCTGATATATGAATGGAGCTCTCAGTTGGTAACATACTGGGGAAGTAATTCCTTTAGGTAGTCAAAACCCAAGCTGTAAAGATGTTAAAAATAAGCACTTTGGAATTTACTTCAAAAACAATGGAGAGCCATTGCAGCTGAGTTGAGATTTATGTCACATGTTCCTAACGAGAGATCCAAAGGAAGACTGGCCACTGTCTTGCTGCAGTTTCCAGGTAACTTTCAAAGCACGCTGATATAAAGCACAATACAGTGATCCACCTGGAAGGTAACAAGTGCATGGACAATTGCTCAACAACTGATAGAAGGCACCCCTTGCCACTACACTCACCTGAACATTTGGGGAAAGTGCAGTCCATCCAGAGCAGATAAATGCTCTTCTAATCAGACAGAAATAACACCACCCAGCAATTTCTCACACTTTTTTAGGTTCAGACTTAGTTTGCTACACCTCATCCAAACTTAAATCTTGTCCAACCAGGAAGCCTACCCTGGAGACTGACACCTGCATAAAGTTGATACCTAGCTCCTCTCTCCCTGATCATTTCCAGTGAATTTATATAAAACAGAAGCCTACAGCAACAAGTTTGTTTGGGAGGAGGAGTAATCTGCCCAAAGTAGCATCAGGCACCTGTCCTCAAGGCAGGAACAGTATCACAAAAAAGCCAAGCCTCTGACCTCCAACTCTTTCAAGCAGTCAAGGGGGATATTATGATAAATGGTACTGAAGGAAGTCCAGAAGCACACACAGAGACAACACTCTTCTATTATGCTCCCTCAACAGATTGTCTATCTTCACCCCAACCTAACAGATTGTCCTTTCTTCATCCCAACTTAAAACCAGATCAAAACAAACTGACATTATCTGTGTCATCCAGGAGCACCTGGAATTGCTCAGTTAGTACTTTTACAAGTACCTGTACTTTGTCAATAGGGAAGGTTAAAAAATATATATTTTTAACAGGGAGTACACCATTGCCTCCTCTGATGCAGGTGGCATCATGCTTGAGAAAGGATGCATTCAGAAAAAACATGTTGAATTTCTTTCAATAGATGTCTCCCAACCAGTTCTAACCAAAAGGGAACTATGTCCAGTAGACATAGGTAGTAACTCTAGTTCATCTAAGCACCCTGTCAATTTTGACAGGTCTGTGGTAGCCAAGAACTCCTGAGACAATTCAAGAGATTGGCCACAGCACAGATGTTGAAGTTTCCATATACCAACAACTTAGGGATTCCAACATCCAGATTCAAGACAACCCTCAACTGCTCAGGTACAGAGATTATTGGGCTGAGGGCTGCCTGGTACATAAATAAATGTTCTCTGAAGATCTGTAGCCTGATAAAATTGTCTGTTGTGGCCTTCAGCCCTTCTTTGCTCCAGCACATGAAAACCTGGAGGGAGAATCTGGGCCCAGATGATATTACCTAGCTTACCCAATTAGGTCTCCATTACACAAACCAAGTTGGCATTTCCAACCTGGATAAGATCTTCCAATAAGTTGATTTTATTAGCCACCAACAACAGAAGGAAAGACTCGGGGAAATTACTTGGTTGCTTGTCTGCCTGAAACAGGTTAACGACTGGCTCTGAAGTGAGACTACCTGCCTAACTTACTTCTCCTGGAATATCCTGCATTAGAGTAACTCCCCATCCCCTAGGACCTCACCAGAACTTTGCCATTGGTTGCATCTTCCCCTGAAAATACATCACTCCTAAGGAATTTTCCTAACCTCAGCCAGGCCTATTTTCTAAAACTCATCTCCAAAAATTCATTTGAGTTAGTCTTCCCCTAAATAACCAGCCCCCACATGCTAACTCCAAGAGATTAATAATAATACCCTATCTCATAGACTTAGATCCTACAAGAATACAAATGGTGTTGTAGCATAAGAACAAGCCTTCTCAATTATAAGAAGGGCCCCAAGCTTTAACCCAGCAAGCCGCACACAAGCATTGCAACAAAAACCACTGCAGAAGTGGGCAATCAAATGGCAATTATAAAGCACCATCCAGCAGCAATGGTGGTAATAATAATGGCAGCAAGTGACCAGCAAGATTCTCAACAAGATGATGTCAGGCAATGAGACACTTCAAGAATAACAATCATGGTGGAGGACACAATGCAGGATGAAGACCCAAGCAGGAGATAGTTACTTCTCCCAGCATCATTACTTACTCTCCTACTTCCTTCCCCCTTTCTATCATTCATTCTTTCCCCAACAACCTACTAGCATTCCAACATTTGCTCTACTATTCCAAAACTTTATACAATACTGCCGTGTCCAACTTTATCACCAACACCAGTTCTTCTTTATCCTGTTCTGTCCCTTCATATCTGTTTTCTTCATTAACAAACCAATACTCACTCTCCTTCCACCAGAACTTTCTTCGTACATTCTCCTTCTCTGACACTGTCCCCAACACAAACTCTCCAAAATTTCATCTCTCTCTTGTTCTAACACTGACACCATACCCAGCTCTATCTCTATTTGCTCTTCTGACCAAGCTCACTGGTCTTTTTTCATCCAGCTCTCATGCATCTTATTTAATTAGGTCTTCCACAGATTATCCTCCATAATAAGATATTTCTATTGTTTAATTGCAAAATTCCACCCCAGATGTCAATATCTGCTGCCATTTGGCTAGTGTCCTTTTTTAAAAAAAATAATTCCATACAGAAGTATGTTTAGAGGAGAATTCTCAAACTGTGGACTGCAATCCCCAGGTCACCTCATGAGTAAGCAACACCTTTCCATATGCTGTCCAGTCACTTTCACTTGACTCTTCCTGCTAAGATGAACAGCTAATAAACTGTACAACTCTAGCTGGATCTGCTTAGCCTTCTGTTCCAGCTAGGAATTCTTTGCTTTTTTGTAAAGGTGAAGTCAAAAGAACTTTGTTTTAATGGATTCTCAGTTATAATAGACTTCTGTTTATGAAGACAAACAAAAGAAAAAAATAGGATATGACAAAAACAGCTGCTTTTGCCACCTTTTACAAGCAATTTTACCTTCTATAGAAGATTTTTTTTAAAAAAAGATAAGTGTGCCCTTACAATTCATAAACATATTGCATTCTCTTTTTACCTTCCATAGCAGCTCACATTCTCTTTCTTCTAAAGCCTTCTTGTGTCTGGAAGTCACGGCCTTCACTTCAGATTGTACCATTTTTGCCTTCATCTCAACTTGTTCTGCTACAGCTTGCGCTTGCTCAATACTCAGCTATAACAAAAGACAAAACTGCTTAGTCAAGTAATTGAACAGTAGGAGACAGAGCATTTGTTAAGCAACTCAACTTTTTTTTTTTTTTTACGATTAAGCACAAAATAACACAGGCTACCAAACAGAAACATCGGGTTAAGTTTCAATGGAGCATGTTCAAACCTTGACCAATATAAGCATCAGCCTTTGAAAGTGGGCTGGACAATGGCCGATTGAACATTTCATCATTATTAGCATCAGAGCACCATGTTAAAATCTTCTGTGAATTATCCAAATTGGAAACTGATAAGACAGATTATTTTTCTCAGACAGAAAGCTATTTATTTATCCAAACTGGTCTATTTCCCCAGATCTCTCTCTCTCACTCAAATAATGCATATACTTCCTGCCGCCATGAACTCTGATTTAGTCTACTACACAGGAATTCCACTCATACAGAATATTAGATCCTGCTTCTTTTCCTCCATTCACAGTATGTACAGTCATCACATCAAGCTGCTGTGAAAAAGAGAAGTCTTATACTTGCCTATCAAATCATATCCCCACCATCTTCCTCATTCAGTTCAGTCAATGAACTACAGCAAATATCTCCATTCATTGTAACAGCTTGGCCCAGCCTCTGCCTGCAACTCAGCAGGAGAGAGACTCTACAGTAGATTAGATCCAGCCATTCAGGTTTTTGAATTTGTTCTCCCCAATATGCCTTGCAGTTCTCTGCTTTTAATTTCCTGCTTGTTCTCTCTCTGTCTGTGCCCCCTTTCAGCGGTAGCAAGACTTAAAGTAGGAAGAGCCCTGAATCCAAATTCAGCCTTCCCAATTTCTTAATCCATTCAATTATATAATATGATCTCATTTAAACATCACCAGTATTGTAAAGACTGTTCTTAAGCTCCCAAGTACTGTACCCTTTTAAGTCATTGCATTACAGCACACACTGAAAACATTTCAAAATAATTTCATTTTTTCCAGTATTGCAGCATTTTATCAACTGTAAAGTTTCAGCACGTTTTCTGGATGGTATGAATATATTCAAAGGCATTCTGCACTGCAATAACTGAACGCCACTGTGAAAAATGCTTATGATATTTTTGGTAAAAAAAAAAAATCTGTCAACATGGCTGTGAAAGGGCATAACCTACTAATTAAAAGGAGAGGAAAAGATCTATGTTCCTCCCCCTACAGTGCCAAATGAATTCTGTGGACATACACTGTACATCAGACATCTAATAACCTAAAAACAGAAGTTGCTGGTTAATTATAACATTAAAATGTAACATTCCCATTTATCTCTATCCCAAAAAGAATTAACTTCAGACTGACAGACAGATATGTATTCTTAAGCACACATTATGTAGCTCAGGACTTTAAAGACTATTAATGTCATTGCTGAAAAAGACCAAAAGTTGTGCTTTAGCATATTTTAAATTTAAAACTTAGATTTATAAGCAAAACATGGTTAACATAGATAAGTAGAAGTCACCTAAGGGAACGTGAGGTTACAGACATACAAGTTTATACCCCTGGGGCTTCTACTATGGATGAGGAGTGTTCTAAAATAATGGTTTACTGGGATAGCAACATATCTGTTTGCTGAACATTGCATTTTATTGCAGGCCCAAGCTAAAAGTTATTCTTCCACTTCCAAAAGATAGGGCTACTGACATCAAGGCAGCCACTATCTGTTTATTTCTTTATTGCTATCCAGCAATTGTGTGGGGTTTTGTAGCCCAAATACAGTAGTCCTGCAAAAGGTCAAGATCTTCTTCATGAATTCCTGCCTTTCGTTTGCATTTCTCCTATCAAGGCATATACAGAAGATTTCTGATTAATTGCTGACGTTAATGGAAGTAAACCACCTATTTGGTCTCTGCCAAGTTACCTAATTACGTATAGGTAGTTCTGCTTAACAACCTTAACTAGGACTGGAATCACATGACTGCAGGGGCGCTGCAATGGTTGTAACTTCGAGGACTGGACATAACTACCATTCAGCGCCGTCGTAACTTCAAATGGTCACTGAACAAATGGTCATTAACACAGGACTACCTGTAGTTGGGTTTGGTCAAAATGCTTGATTTTCTGCCAGTGGGAAGCGAATAATTCATTTCCTCCCAAATAATCAGCCAATCAGAAAAGTAGGAAAGGTTGCATGCAGCTCTAGGAATCCCACTTGTGACAGGGAGCTACACTTGTCCAATGAGACAGAAGTCTTCTACCCTGTTTATAAAGCTAAACTGGTGAGGTTCCCCCTGCTATCTCCTTTTTTGTCTTCTCCCGTGGATACACCCTATTGCTGCATTTTTTCCCAGGCAAACAGAGTCATGCATAAACCAAGCGCTAATACTGGAGTACCACACCATACAATTGCAGGGGATGAGACGCACAGGGGTACTTGTAAACAAAGATGATGCTAAAGGCTGCTGCTAGCTATTTGCTTTATATGATACCAGAATCCCATTTATTATTTTAACAACAAAAATTCAAACATATAAACCTTCACTAGCAGCCTGAAAATCTTTAATGATTTTCTATATGTCAGATAAGCCCTCACCTGTTAATTTTGCTAACAGCTCTTTTCTTCTTAAGGCTTTTTTTCCCTCTGCCTTAAAACCTTGAGAATGCTACTAAAGTAAGTCTTCCTAATATTTTTTTAAAAGGCTGCATGAGGCACATATTCCTTGATCTAAATTTGTAACATCTTTCAAAAAATCAATTTTATGAACTGTAGTGTGTACCAACTGATAGAATTTTTTAGAAAGATGTAGGGTATGCTTTTTCTGGGTCTGAATTATTTTAAGTATTCAAACACTTTTTAAAAGCTGACAGAATGCCAACAATCCAGGAAGTAATGCCCCAATGACATTCCAGACCAAGAAAAATGCCCACAAGCTTAGCAAAAGCGTCTCTTACAAGTTTTGATTTTGAGATGAGCTAGACTTGTTTAACTGGTTTAATGGCATCTAAGACAATGAGTGTCCAAAGACACTCTTCTGCCACCTTGTGAACATTAAAAAAAACATTTTGTTGTATTTTTGAGAATGGTTATCATGTACCAAACATTGAGACACTGAGGCTATTAGGTCAAAGCTTTCAAGAAACCACATTATGAAAATACACAGTTGGAATACTTTTTCCTTTAGCTGGAAGTCCCAGTTTAATTTAATTTACCCAGTAATGAGAGTGGTTTATGCAAGGCTTCCAGAGAACCTGCAAGAAGATTATAGGATGGTAAAAGGCAAACAAAGAAGACTGAAAACTTTTGTGTACTAAAGACCCCAAAACTGCAATTTGAATCTCCCTGGTTTTTCTTAGAAACAATAATGGAAAGACAAAAAGCTTGGACTAACTGTGACCAAATGTCCAAAGACTCTCAGAAGTAAATACTTTGCTTACGTGTATATATAGAGCTTCAGGCAGCTTTAAATAATTATGCATTGGGAAAAGAATCTTGACTGAAACAGTCTAAGTAAAAAGTTCTAGATATCTAACTGCCAAAGTTTAACAAGTTAGAAGGAATCTGGTATCTTTCCATAGAGGTTGGAACTTGACATAATTCCAGTTGCTTTTTTGTAAAACGTTTATGCCAGGGTGATCCTAATCCTAACTTCTCTCTCTCTCTCTCATGGACGCACACACACACACAAAAGAAGTATTTTCTACATCTGTATTTTTTGTTGTTTTGTTTTCTTTTTTCTTCCCCTGTTCTGTTAAGAAAAAAAAAGCAAAATAGAACAATGTCTATTTTATTTTAAAAACAATGATCTATTTATAAATACTTTCTATAACAACTCTGGTATATTTAACACCTATATTTAGGAATCCCAATACTATGCAGCAACTTGACCCATTTCTAGATCATTCAAGAGAGAATGGCATAGCAGAGTGTATACAGAAGTGTTTTTATAGCAGGACTAGTAGTGTTTAGCCTATCAGTAATTATTGCTACCCCAGCTGAATAGGCACCAGAGACATCAAAGAATAGCAGTCCGTCGTGTAAACTGCATATTTACCTGAATGGCCTGGCGACCCTGTTGTGCATCTGCTAGCAGCTGAATAGTAAGTGTTCTGGAGTCCTGCAAAGCTTCTTGGAGGTAGATAAAGCTATGGCCAACATGGCGTCCCATGGTGCATTCCCGACAGATAGGAACAGAACAAGCATCACAGTAGAAATGCAGAACCTGAGACAGAGAGAGTATTCAATAATATGTACATCAACAGAAGATTTAAGACTTATTTGTTTTAAAAGCCATTTCCTAACTGAGCAATCTGTAAAGTACATTTGGGGAGTGGGGGGGGAACAACAGAAGTTCCCTTTTAATTCAAGGTATTAGAATGACTTTTTTCTGTTTATATCTTTCCATTATAAACTATATTCTTTGAAGTGCCATTAGATTTATATAAGTCCTTCCTGTTAAGTTCTTAATTTACTGTTTATTTAGACAAAATGTTTTAGTTAAGAACTCTCAAACAGACTCCAGTGAACTTTCCCAAAATACCATGTCAAGGGATTAGCTGATTTATTCATCAGCAAATCACAAAGCTCTTTTCACATTTCATCCAGCAGAGGGAAGCAATAGAGAGCTTGGGGTGCTCCTCATTTAAGTATTAAGAAAAAACTCCAGCAAGTTTATGCCACTTTTTACTGCTCCACAACACGTTTATATTTATCTCTGTAGAACACAAATAGTTCAAATTACAAGAAATGGTTCTAGAATCATGTAAAGTAGTGACATTCTTTCTGTTTTCTTGGCATATCCTCATTCATTATTCTATAAATATCCTCATTCATTATTCTATAAAATCAACCATAATGTTAAAATGTTCTAATTTAACAAAACTCAAACCAATGGATAACAATCAATCAGCAAAAATGAGTTACAGCATTAATAAAACTATATTGGAATGTCACTTCCAAAATCAAAGTTAGTTTCCCTTTCAAACAAAACTGATTATGTAGTGTACTTATCCTAGTTTATTATCAGAGGAATTTTGGGGAATTCAATTAATTTGTTCTTAATCATGTACCCACATTAAAATTTGCATTTTCTTTAAATACTGAACATTCATAAACAAAACCTTTTTAAAATAGTTAACAATCAGCGTTACTATTCCCTGGGCTCACACAAAATTCAGCATTTCTCCTTTGGCAGAGTATAGCAGCATCATTTTATTACCTAGTTGATTTCATTTTATTTCCAAATATTCAGTGTGATCATTAAAAAAAAAATCCTGCTACTCATTTTAAAAGCACAGAAAGAAGCTCATGCAGGCCACCTATGGAGTCACATTAATATCACAATTCTTGTGGTTGTTAGAAGCGTCACCCCTCCCTTTGGCCGAAAGGGGCCATCTGCAAAGAAAATGGCGACAATATGAGCAAGAACTCTGCTTCAGGCTAAACCTACTATTAACCCTCTGAAACAGTTAATGCCAGAAGCAAAGCTAGGTCAAAGGCCAGACAGCAGTGCTGTCATGCAGATCCAGATGCTACTTTCCACAGGAATACAATGTAGGAGTCATCACTGCACACAAGTCACAAAAGAGAGGAAAAAGTAATCAAAACAATTAATAGATTGTTAAAGAAAGCCTCTAATTCAACTGACTATAGTTTAAAAATAATGGCTTGGTAGCTGTAGGAACCACCCAATGCCAAACAAGTTCTTTTTATTATCATAGAATATATAGAGATTTGATATGCAAAATAAAGTTTTTAGGGTTAGAATACAACTGGTTTTACAAGTTAGATTAGGCCCACAACTGCAAAAATTTCTACTCATGCATTACGTTACCAGAAGCATCATTACTGAAGTGGAGGACCTTTCTTTCCTCTCACTATAGAATGAGGATCTTGTGCTAACAGATGTTGTTCTTAAGATACCGTGGGGTTAAGAACCACCTTTTGATATGTCTTCTTTCTTCATTTTTCAAATTCACCAGAATACTTTTTTAGTAGCATCTCTCATTATCAAAGGCAACAACAATACCTATAACCATTTGTAGTGGAGTTTTCTACTGGCCTTTGTCAACATGGCACCTTCCAGATGTGGGGCAGGACTAGTGGCATGTGACGATGGAAGTTATAGTCCCACAAGTCTGGAAGATACCAGACACTCTTTGCAGTTGTACCTGCCTAGTGTGGCATAACAAAACGATGTCTTTTTCTGTCCTTTATTCAATATACTTCCATATTTGTGGGGGGGGGGGCGCATAATAATACTTAAGATTTTTTTCTGCTTCTGATGCTAAAAAACACAACAATATCTACTGGCTATTGTCCTATACAAATGAATTCTGTCCATCTCCTGCTGCATATTATTGAATAGTTGTATTGCTTGCCAACACTTCTCCTTCTCAGCTCTTCCCTGCCATGTCCTCTGGTTGAGAAGGTACAGCCACACCCAGACAAACCAGCCTGAGAGCAGCTTTTCATCCCCACAAAAAAGAATTCAACCCGACTGGTTCTTCCTAACAGCATTCTCTCAACTGAACTGGTCACTTTTCTAGTTCATCTCACCATGGTTTATCAAATAAACCACAACAATGGATTCCAATATTACAGTAAACCATAAACCAACCAGAGCTTTCATTTCAGACTGCACACAGTTGAGTCACTTCATTTTGCAAAATATATCATTCAGCTGACAAACGTGAAAGGAATAAAGCTCTCCAGTAGTTTGGACTATCTTTTGTGCAAGAAGCTGCCAAGAATCTGAGAATAAGCTTGTTAAATGAGCCATGGTGGAAGAAAGTAAAGGTTACAATAAAATGAATTAGACGTTAATAATTATTCAATCATAGCATTCCATTTTATTCAAAAAATGTGCTATTTTTTATTTTTTTATAAATTTTATTGCTTTTTAATAACAAAAAAAGAAAAACAAAACACAAAAATAATAATACACTATCAAGAAGAAAAGAAACATTAAAAAGTGCTATTACAAAAAAGTGACAAAAATGCAACAAAAGAAAAAAACGTAGCATATTATATCATTATAACAGTAGTTACAAATATCTATCTATCTATCTATCTATCTATCTATCTATCTAATGTAAATATTATTCAGATGCATATATATTTCCAGTACATTTAGGTGATTATCTTTTTTTTAACCTACTGTATTTTGTATAAATGAGTCCCGTATTTCATTATACTTGTCCATACAAAGTCTATGTCTATAGGCAATCTGCTCGTAAGTGGCAAATGCAATCAGGTCTTCAATCCAATGAGTGAGTGGGGCCATACATTTATCTTTCCAATGCTGCAACATCAGTCTTTTGGCTACAGTAATGGCACGGAGAATCCATTTACATTGTTCAGATGTCAAATTCCATGTACTAGGTATATAGTTCAAAAGAATATTATCCCCTGAAAGTTTTAGCTATAGTCCACTACTTTATCCAAAAACTTAGTAAGTATAGGATACTGTAAAAACATATGCTTTAAAGAGGCATTGTCCTTATTACATCTCCAACAAAATGCTGT